CACTACCAACTAATGAAGAATGATAAGCAATGACCTCCATGTTGCCAATATCGCTGACTATTCTTCTCTTATTGCGTTACTTTATAGTTCTTTGGCGTGTTGCACTGATAATTGCTCCCTCCACCTTGAAAACCACTTCTTCTTTAGCTTTTACCAAATCATTCCTCCTTCTGTACCAAAACAGGAGTTTTCTTCCCTCCCCTTTATTTTCTTCCCCATCTCAGTGCTGATATAGAAACAAAGACTTTATTATCATCAATGTTTTGCTAGAAAAGATCTTCATGAGCAAAGGAAAGATTTTGTCTTATGGGTGTTCCCATATGAAGAATCTGAAAAATCTACTCTTATATAAAAGCTCATCATTAACCTTCGAGGATGGAGCCAGAAATGAAAAGTCTTCATGATCTTGAGAAGCCTGTCCCTCATCTCACCTTTGCCTTGGGAGGGTAAAGAAATAGTCACTTCAATTCACACAGGGCTGAAGAGTTTAAATTGGTGGGGCCATTTGAAACCATCTAATAAAATTTAAAATGCATGACCTACTGCAGCTAAAACCATTTTGAAAAAGAGAAACGAAGTTGGAGGACTATACTACTTAATTTCAAGACTTCCTATAAAATTACCGCAGGGTAGAAGTAAAAGGATAGACATATAAACAAGTGAAATGGAGCCCCCTGCTCCCATGGTGGCTCACGTCTATAATCCCAGCACTTGAGGAGGACAGCATAAGAGGATCGCTCGCAGCCAGGAATTCAAAATGAGTCTGGGCAACATAGTCTCTACAAAACAAAATTTTTTAAAAATTATCCAGGCATGGTGGCATGCACCTGTGGTCCTAGCTACTTGGGAGTCTGAGGTGAGGAATATACCTACATGTATAGGATCAATTGATGTTCAACGACAGTGCCACGGGAACAAAGGTGTAAATGGAAAAAGAACCATTATTTTGATCAATGGTGCTGGAACAATGGGGTATCTATACAAAAAATAATAATAACCTCAACCCATACTTCACACCATATATAAAAGTTCAATTAAATTAGATCACAGACCTTAATACAAAACTTAAAACTACAAAATTTCTAGAAGAAAGTATCAGGGCAATCTTTGCAACTAAGACTAGGCAACCATTTCTAAGACAACAGACAAAAAACACAAACTATAATACAAAATATTAATGAAGTAGGGAAAAAAACCCTGTTTGTCCCTCTCACAACACAGAACACTTCTGTGGCCAAATGTGTGGGAGTGTTTTCCATATATACCAAACAAGCAATCAATTCTATAGTAGACTCTCCAGCAGACACCAGTTGGGTTTCTACTAGCTCAATTCAATTCCGTTACCTGAGAGAGAACATCAGATCCCACAGGTTAAGGGCTCAGTCCCACAGAACTGCCCCCACTTCTGATGCAAGTACAGGTTGTAGCTGAAGGTTCTGACCAACTGACTTCAAATCTAAGTATCCCTGACCACCTCTTCAGGTTTGGCTAATTTGCTAGAGCAGAACTCAGGATAACACTTACACTTTTTTATTATAAAGGACATTACAAAGGATACCGATGAAGGCAAGTGTACAGCAAGGCATGTGGGAAGCCATGTCCTCCCTGGGTGCCACCCTCCATAAAGCTTCATGTGTTCAGCTATCTGGAAGCTCCCCAAACCCAGTCCTTTTGGGTTTTTAACAGAGGCTTCATTATATCGCCATGGTTGATTGCATCATTAAACATCGGTGATCAACTCAACCTTCAGCCTTCAACATCCCCAAAGTTGGGGGGCCAGCAATCATCTCATTAGCATGCAAAAAGGCACTTATCACTCCAGAAATCCCAAAGGTTTTAGAAGCTACCTTTCAGGAAACAGGAGGAATACCAAATATAAACAGGCATGCACCAAATAACAAAGTTTCAGTCAACAACAAACAATATACACATGTGGTCCTGGGCTGGGCATGGTGGTTCAGATCTGTAATCTCATCACTTTGAGATGCTGGGAGGGAGGGGCTGGGGGGGGAGTGATGGAGTTGCTTGAGCCCAGGAGTTGCAGACCAGCCTAGGCAACATAGTAAAAACTCATCTCTACAAAAATTAAAAAAAATTAGCCAGGCGTGGTGGCCTGTACCTGTAGTCCAAGTTACTCAAGAGGCTGAGGCACAAGGATCACTTGAGCTCAAGCGGTTGAGGCTGCAGTGATCTATGATCCTGCCGCTATATTCCAGTCTAGGTGACAGAGTGTGACCCCAGCTCAAAAAAATTTTTTAAAGGTGATCCCACAAAATGATCGTGGAACTGAAAAATTCCTGTCACCTAGTGAGTCATAAAAGCATAGCTTAATGCATGACTCATATGTTTGTGGTGATGATATTGTAAACAAATCTACAGCAACGTCAGATGTATAAAAGTACAGCACATACAATTATATATAGTACATAATACTTGACAATGATAATAAACGGTTGTCACTGGCTTATGTATTTACATACCATCAAATGTAAATATTATTATTTTGGAGTGTACACCTTCTACTTATTAAAAAAACAGTTAACTACAAAACAGCCTCAGGCAAGTCCTTTAGGAGATATTTCAGAAGATGGCATCGTTAACAAAGAAAATGGTAGTTTTTTTATTGCCCCTAAAGACCTCCCAGTGGGATAAGATGTGAAGGTGGAAGACAGTGATGTTGATGATTCTGACCCTGTGTAGGCCTAGGCTAATGTGTATGTTTGCATTTAGTTTTGAACAAAAAAGTTTAAATATGAAAAATAAAAAATTTTTAAATAGAAAAAAGCTAGCCGCACGTGGTAACGTGCTCCTGTAGTTCCTGCTAGTTGGAAGGCTGAGGCAGAAGCATCGCCAGAGTCCAGCAGGTCGAGGCTGCGGTGGCCGGGAGCGTGCCACTGCACGCCAATCTGGGCGACAGAGTGAGACTCTAACTCAAAAAAGAAAAAAGCTCATGAATAAAGATATAATGAAAGTAAATATGTTTGCACAGCTGTACAATGTGTTTTAAGCTAAATGTTATTACAGAAGAGTTTAAAAATGTCAAAAAAAATAAAATTTTTTAAGTCAAAAGTTACATTAATCTAAGTTTAACTTTATAATGGAAGAGGAATTTTTATGTTTTGTGTAGCCTAAATGTATTAGCCGGGCTCGGTGGCTCAGCCTGTAATCCCGTGCCTGGGGAGGCTGAGGTGAGTGGATTGCCTGAGCCCGCGGGTTCGAGACCCTCCTGGGCAACTTGATGAGACCTCATCTCTACAATAAATCAAAAAATTAGCCAGGCATGGTAACACATGCCTGTAATTCCAGCTACTTGGAAGGCTGAAGCGGAAGGATCGCCGGAGCCCAGCGGGTCGAGGCTGCGGTGGCCGGGAGCAGCCCCTGCGCTCCAGTCTGGGTGACAGAGTGAGACTCCGACTCAAAAAAAAAAGGGAAGAAACCAGAAAGCTCATGGGATTGGTATCTAAACTATTAGGTAGATGGCAAGGCCATTTCCTGAAGTAGGGAAGACTTGGGAGAAGGATATGTAAGAGAATATTCATCTCAGCATCATCTGTGCGAGTAGGGGAATCAAAGGCAACTAGGTCCATCATCAAGAGAATAGATAACACAATGGAGACTCTGCAGCTGCTGAAAAGATGAGGCCACATGCACATGACGCAACACAGACAGACCTAAAAACATGACGCCACTAGAAAAAGTAAAACAGTGGGGTAGATTTTTTAAATCATTTATTAAATATGGAACAAATAAAGAAGAAAACCATGTGTCTTATAGGGATACAAACATGCTCAAGGGATATATCAAACATCAAAGTATGCTCCTAGGCTGGACTCGGTGGCTCAGCCTGTAATCCCAGCACTTTGGGAGGCCGAGATGAGTGGATTGCCTGAGCCCGCGGGTTCGAGACCCGCCTGGACAACTTGGCGAGACCTCGTCTCTACAATAAATCAAAAATTAGCCGGGCGTGGCAGCCCGTGCCTGTAGTTGCAGCTACTTGGAAGGCTGAGGCAGAAGGATCGCCGGAGCCCAGCAGGTCGAGGCTGCGGTGGCCTGGAGTGGCCACTGCACTCCAGTCTGAGTGACAGAGTGAGACTCCAACTCAAAAAAAAAAAAAAAAAGTATACTCCTATGGAGGAAAAGTGAACAGAAGTGGGGAAAACGTGGACTGAGAAAGATGGTGGCTCCAGAAACTGAGGAGTTGGATGAACCCTAATCATTTCATTACTGCCCCTTATGTCTTGAAACAACAACTTCCCTCCTTATATGTGCCCAAACTCTACTAAGGAGAAATAATAACATTTTCTCATTTTTGAGGCATTAATGCCTAAAGTAATTTAGGGACCCAACCACATAAACTGCTTCTGTAAGCTTTTCTCTGTGAAAATGCCTTCACAGATTTCCACTATCTTGAAATTAATATGCGAATCACACATTCACAGCATAGAAAAGATACAGTCACACATTGGTTTATTCACCCACATCTATGCATACTCAGAAATAACAAGATCGGGTTTTTGCATAACTGTGAAGGGCTGAGAAGGAGACAGCCCCGCTGTGCCCTCACCCACTTCCCCTGGTTTATATTCTCATGATTAGTATTATTTTTTAGAATAAAGCTTAATCTGCAAAGGGTCACTGTTAGGATAAAATATGCCATCAGGGAGAAGTAGCATGTTAACCATCAGTACACATGAAAAGCCTCTGGGATATTAGGAATAGTATATGTCTGCAGATTTCATCAGATTAGCTCAAAATATAACATGAGAAAGGTATATTTTTGACAGAGGTGATGGCGGTGTGGATGAGGGGCCCAGCATTAGTTAGTAAGCTGAAAAACACTAAAAACAAACTTTATTTTACAAATGTGCCTAGATCCCGCCTTGAAATTGTTATAATAACTAAATAGTCTCAACGAAAATTCATCAGTAAAGCATCAATCCCTAGTAGGCTGCATTAATCTTACATCTAATGCCATATTAGAAGGTTCAGCACTCACTAAATACATAGCCATAGCTGTCCCAACATGCAGTGGCCAACTCCCTCTTTTTAGGGATACATGATAGATCGGAGGGTCAGGACAGAGTGGTCATCCCTCAAAGTCTGACCTTCTTACAAACCCACTGTAAGGGGACTTCACAGCTCGAGGCTTGGAGACCATCTTTGTTGACAGCACCACAATTCTGTACCAAGCTATTAGAAATAACCCTGTAAGAAATCAGAAAATTCAATCACATGAGGCCACATACACAGTAAAGGAGTTGAAAGGCATGAATAGAAATTGTGCAAATTCTTTCTCCCTACTAAGACATCTCAGCTCTCAAAACAATAGAAGAATAAAAAATGATCATTAGCCTTTCTTTAGAATGTCCATCTTTTTGTCCTTTCCCACTATTCATTCTCTTCCTTGTGCCCTTTTTCCTCTCCTTTTACTCTTTCCTCTCCTCTCCATCTGCTAGCCTTGACCTATTTCCAAAGCAACATAATTTATCTTTCCTGTTTCTTTTCTTTTTCTCTTTCTGTTTGTATTTTCTTTTCCTTTTTCCTCTCTTTCTTTCTTTCTTTTTCTTTCTTTCTTTCTTTCTTTTTCTTTCTTTCTTTCTTTTTCTTTCTTTCTTTTTTGGCACTCTTTTGAAGACCCTTACCTTGACAAGTTGAGAACTGATCCATCTGCCCACCTCCAGCCAGAATCATTCCTCAGACCAATCCAGTAAAAGTTCTCATTGAGGGAATTTTTGAGCAGGCTCTAAGGCAGAGGTTGAAGATGATGAAGAAAGGTAAGAAAGATGCAGAGGATCAAATTATTCCTTAAAATAGGTATAACTGGAGTAACTGGAAAACCAATTATTCCTTACATCTTCTCTCATCACTGCTATTAAGGACTGAATGTTTGTGTTCCCCTAAAATGTATATGTTGAAGCCCTAACCACCAATGTGATGGTATCTGGAGGTGGAGCCTTTAGGAAGTAATAAGGTTTAGCTGAGGGTGTGAGTTTGAAGCCCCCATGATGGGATTAACTAGAGTGCTCCCTGTGCCAAGTGAGAACCCAAGAAGATAGTTGTATACAACCCAAAAGGGGCCCTCACCAGAAACTGAATATGTCAGTACCTTGATCTTGGGCTCTTCAGCCTCCAGAACTGTGAAAGATAACTGTCTGTTGCTAGATCACCCAATCTATGGTATTTTGTTATAGCAGCCCAAGCTGACTAAGACAGCCACCCACTCCAAATAACTAATCTCTTTTTAATTTCTAATTCTAGAGACAGAAATTACAGTTGATTACAGTCAGAAGCAGCTTCCTAGAATTGGCCTTTCCATCTATAATTGCCTTCTTATAATGTGAGAAATAAGACAATATTGCATCTCTATCTTCCACTGCACCTTTCCTTGATTAGAAGGAGCAACTGATAGAGATTCAGATAATGTCAAAAAAAAAGAAGCTAAACACTGCTGCAGAAGAAGCCATCTTTCTCGTCATCATTGAATATATAAATTATGATTAAGCCCATAGCAATATGCTTGGTTTTCTTTTTCTATTAAACTCTCATTTTCCCAGTCCTCATTAATCTTGTATGCAACCAAAAAAAAAGTAGTTCTTAAAGGAACAAGCTTAAGGTAAGGTTAAATTAGTTATACCACTTCTGTGTACCATGCTACCCAGTAGAACAGAGATAAAAGATACTTTCTTCTGTAGTATCTGACATTCAAATAAGGAAGTTTATATCCTAAGGGAACTGCTTCTATAAAGATATAAAGGATAAATCTAAGAAGATTCATTTTGTTGGAGGATTTGCTGTTAGTGTAATTAATAATTACACTTTCAACATTTTCTAATGAGTGCTTAATTAATTGAATATCTTTGGAAGAAAATATTTCTTTTTATCCAGAAACTACCAAGAAAGCAGTACAATTTCAGCTCTCTACGGTTATTATGGTATCACCAGAAGTCATATGGACATCATTGTCCTATTTCACTCCTGGAAGATGGTAGCTGAAGATGAGAATTCCTGGGCCCTGCTCTTAACCTGCCATTTGCCATACTTGGATCCTTCTCCAGCTTGAATTAAAAAATGTATCTTCTAAAATCCAGAGAGGTAAAAAGCCACTTTTCACTCCAGCAAAGATGCTACAGAAGGTAGAAGGAGTCTTTTATGCTTTGCCGTATGGTCAGAATAACCTCTATTTTCTCTTCATTGGATTTCAGTTCTAGTTTTTACTCAGGACACATGGTTGTGATGCTTTCTAGGTGAAGTATTTGAAAAATCAGTATAACTTGTTTATCAACGTTTCCTTCTCAAATTGTCTATATCCTACAATAGCTTTGTTCTCTCAGGACAGAATATCCTGAAAATGTCTTACATTTGTATTGTAATTTAAGGTTTACAAAGTCCCCTTGTATTTATTTCTAATCTCATTTGAAATACTGGATATGCATTTATGCATTATAGTATTTAGAAAAACAAACAGAAACGAAATACTGGAGCCTACCACTAGCTTTGTCCCTGCTATCTGAAGATGACCAAGTTGCTTAATCTGACTGAGCTCCAGTTTCTTTGTGAGAATTTAGCTTAGGTATTCTCCAGGATTCTTTCCAGTTATAAAATTCTTCACAGCCTTGGAAGGAAGGCAAATACCATTATCCTCATCTTTTGGTCTGTGTGTTTGCTTATCTTTGTGTAGAAACAGGGTCTTGCTATGTTGCCTAGGTTGGTCTCCTAAACTCAAGCAATCCTCCTGCATCGGCCTCCCAAAGTGCTGTAATTACAGGTGGAAGCCCCTGGCCTTGTTCTTTTTAAAATGGAAATAAGGTCTTGCCCTGCTGCCTGGAGTACAGTGGCTGATTATAGCTCACTGCAGCCCTGAACTCCTAGGCTCAAGTGATCTCCCAATTCAGCCTCCTCAGTAGCTAGGAATATAATGGACATGCCACCACATCCAGCTGATTTTTATTTTATTTTATTTTTGTAGAGATGGGGGCATCTTACTATGTTGCCCAGGCTGGTCTTGATTGCCTGACCTCAAGCAATACTCCTGCCTTGGCCTCCCAAAATTCTGGGATTACAGGTGTGAGCCACTGTATCCAGTCTATTATCCACATCCTTACAGATGACAAGTTCACATGGGTGAAATTCTCCTTATCAAATAGCCATAAATTTCTCTTTCCTAGTACTAAACTTTTAATCAGTCGGTGCTACTGATTAATGCCTATCAGTGGTTTCACTTTTTGCATAGAATAAAATCTAAAATCCTCACTATGTATACCAGGTGTTTTATAATCTAGCCTCTGACAACCATTTACTCACTAAATTCAGCCACGTAAGACTTCTTTCCGTTCCCTTTAACATGCCAAGGTCATTCTTGCCTTAGGGTCTTTGCATAGCTTTTCCAACTGCCTGGAATACTCTTGCCCTAGATTTCTACATGACGGCCATTCAGGTCTACATCTCAACTCAAATGTTACCTCTACAGAGAGGCCTTCCTCGCCTTCACTATTGTATCATACCGTTTTATTTTCTTTAAAGCACATATTGCCATATTAGTTTACTTTTTGTTGTCTGTCTCTTCTGCCTAAAATGTAAGCACATGTAACATGTATATATATCATGTAATGATCAAATCAGAGGAATTAACATATCCACCACCTCAAACATTTATCGTTTATTTGTGTTTGGAACATTCAAAGTCCTCTCTTCTAGCTATTTGAAAACATACAACAAATTGTTAACTGCTGTCACACTACAGTGCTATAAAACACGAGAGCCAATCTAGCCCTACTTTTGTATCCTTTCATTTCTTCCTACCCTCTCAGCCTTTAGTGTCCTCTGTTCTACTTTTTATTTCCATGAGATCAACTTTTTTTTGCTTCCACATATGAATGAGAATATGCAATGTTTAACTTTTTTGTTGTTGTTGGGAGTCTCACTCTGTCACTCAGACTGGAGTGCAGTGGCCACTCCCGGCCACCGCAGCCTCGACCTGCTGGGCTCTGGCGATCCTTCTGCCTCAGCCTTCCAAGTAGCCAGAACTACAGGTGCACTACCGCACCCAGCTAATTTTTTACTTATTGTAGAGACAAGGTATCGCCAAGTTGCCCCAGCTGGTCTCGAACCCACAGGTTCAGGCAATTCACTTGCTCAGTATCCCAGAGTGCTGGGATTACAGGCGAGCCACCGAACCCAACCGTGTTTGTGTCCTGGCTTATTTGACTTAAGATAATGTCCTCCACTTCTGTCCATGTTGCAAAAAAATGACCGGATTTCATTCTTTGTTATGGTTGAATGGTATTCTAGAGTGCGTGAGTATATACTGTACATATCTATATCTACATGCCACTTTTTCTTTATCCCATTTATCTGTTGATGGACATTCAGGTTGATTCCAAATCTTGGCTATTATGAATACTGCTGCAATAAACATGGGGTTGCAGATGTCTCTTCAACATACTGATTTCTTTTCCTTTGGATAAATAACCATTATATGTACAATTATTATATGTCAATTTAAAATATCAATAATTAAATTAAAAATATAATTTTTCTTAAAAAATAAATATAATGTAAGCATAATTATAGCAAGAACTCTTGATTACTATATCTCCAGCACATAGAAAAATATATAAAATTATATCCAACAAATATTTATAAAAATGAAGAACATACAGTAAGATATGATGCTGCAAGAGGCTAAAACCTTCTGGTGACAAACTGTATTTTTTACTGTCCCTTGTAGAGCACTTAATTGTGCATGCTGAGGTAGGGAGGTAGACGGAAGAGTAAAGGAAGTATAAGACACATGAAGTGACATTGTAATTCTCAAGATAGCTTAAAACCTTTCATGCACTTCTTAACCAACTAACTTAAAGGATTCTTTAAATTAGAAAAAAAAAGAGCATTTTTAAAAAGATTTTCACAAAATTTGTGTGGTAATGAGAGCCATGATCTAAAAGATTTAAAAATAAAATGTTACTACAATTGAAATTAAATATTTTTAAATGAATTAAAAAAAATTAAAATCATTTTAAAAGAAAAAAATGTGATTGGGCATGATGGCTCACACCTATAATCCCAGCACTTTGGGAGGCCGAGGTGAAAGAATTGCCTGAGATCATGAGTTCGAGACCAGCCTGGGCAACTTGGTGAGACCTCATCTCTACAGTAAATTTTTTTTTTTAATTAGCCGGGTGTGGTAGTGCATGCCTGTGTGTTCCAGCCGGTTGGAAGGCTGAGGCAGAAGGATCGCCTGAGCCCAGCAGGTCGAGGCTGCAGTGACCGTGACTGTGCCACTGCCCTCCAGCCTAGGCAATTGAGTGAGACTCCAACTCAAAAGAAAAAGAAAAAAGAAGAAAAAGTTTCCTCATCTCTCCACTCAAATTATAAGGAAAAAATAGCCCATTTTCTTTCTTCATTTCAAGAGGAGCAATGGCAGCTGGTGAAACAGAAATGGATAAAAATGTGCTCTAAAACTTCAATTAGAGTCTGAAGAGCAGAGATTAGATAATGCCCATGAAGAAGCCACAATCCTGTGCTCACTTACTATTTTCAAGACCCCTACAATTCCAAGTCATTTGGTCAGTCCGTCCGTTTTTACACTTTCTCACTGAGAAGGCTGGATATTGAAAATGTTATATACCACTTTCACTTGCAAACCTTCCCACTTGGACAAGGCCTTCAAAACCAGAGTGTAATCGTGCAATCTCCCTTCTATGTACCCATAGATAATATGCCTCTGTGTGTGTGTGTGTGTGT